ACCTTAACTACTGCTTTACAAATTCTTGGTATCCTTTCCAACATATTCTAAAAAAAAAAAGGAGTTGGCAGACCTTCCCAAGCATTCTTCAAGCACTGAAAAATTCACTCTCACTCTTCGAACTCTATCATTCTATCCAATTCATCCTCTACTAATTCAACGGGAGTGAAGTCAGGAAATTGACGCGGCCTAAATCATAATTTTGAAAAAAAAAATTTTTTTTTTGACTCGAGGTAATTTTGACATAATTTAGAAGAGTGTTTTTCATCGTTGATTTTTTGAAAAGGATTTTTTTAATAATGCGTAAACCAGATGGTATAGCATGTCTTTGCAAAATCGAATGATATTGTTCAATTTTCATAATTCCCACAGCCTTTTTGGTAATCACAAAAGGTCTACAAAAATGTTTTATGGTGAAAACAAAATATAATGTCTTTCATGCAAAATATTCATAATTTAACAAAATGTATTGTGGACTGACGAATCCAAATTTCAAGTATTTGATAGTAAGAGGAGCCTGGAGAAAGACAGAAAAAATAAAAGCAAAATAAAAACTGTGGTTACTGAAATTTTATCTTTCACTATAAAAAATACAAAAATATCTTTTTAAGGTGTTTTTTAAGGAAATGCTATTTGCCTGTAGTGCATATAGTGTATATATGAGGCAATAAAAATAGAGAGAGGAAGAGATTGCGAGGGAAACGTGAGAGTTATTATTATTATTATTATTATTATTATTATTATTATTATTATTATTAAACATATTCAGATGTTTTGGTGATATTCATCAAAAGTTCCAACACGTTTACTCAAATCTCCGGCACCCTTCCTCGGCTTTCTCACTCAGCTCAACAGTGCTGTGCTCTAAATTGTTTCTTCAATTTTTCTTCGATTGATTCTTCCAAAACATTTTTTATGGATCTTCAAGATTGATCAAGTGTGGCTACAACTGCCACTTCACTTCGTCTAGTCTGCATCAAAAGATCCTGCTGGGACAGCGACATCCACTATTTGATAGATTCTCTTGTTTCGTGCTTTTGTTTAAATAATAACTATAAAAGAACAAATGTATATTTCATTGTTATTAGCTTCTAGCATAATTCTACAATTTCCGAAAATATAAAAGCATTAGCTATAAAAAAAAATATCCTTATTTTATGTACATAATCTAATTATGTTAAACTGCTATACCAATATGATGTTGTGGTCATCAGTTAAAATAGTTTGTTCTCTGAACTTAGGGCGTTAATATATAAGTCTTTCGAGAAGAACATGTTTCACCTTTGATTTTTAATGGTTAAACATTAACATATTAATAGTTGGCGGCACTAAATTTTATTACAGAATGAAGATTGTCCAAGTGACTTTTAGAAAATTAAAATCTCTTGTTGACTGTGCAACACGGCAATGGTGATTCTGAACAATGAACAGATTTTTTTAAAAGAAGGCATTTATTGAGAAAAAAGAATTTGCAGTACAAAATAAATTATCAGTGATGCTTCATGTTTATTCTCTATATAATTTATACTCCTTTTAACTCTTTATAGGTCTTCTTTATAGATTTTCTTGGGAAGAACTTCAATGCTTAGTAAGTTGGGGAATTACACAATTCAGATTACATCTTAATTGTCGCCATAAATATTGATTACCTCTGTCATAAACCTGAAGTTTTCATCTCGTGGTAAACATCCTTAAAATCCAGATGAATGTTATAATTTTGTTATTCAGTTATTTTAGTAATTTAATTAATTTATCATATATTTATATATAAATAATTATATCTGTATTTAGTAATTTAATTAATTTATCATTTAAATTTAATCTAATTTAAATTTAGTTTAAACGAAAACTGTAATTTTCAGATTTAATTTAAATTAACAATATATAAAACTTTTACATTTTAGATATTCACAAAAAATGATCAGTGATTATGGGAAGAATTCTAGAATTTATGACCAACTTACTCTGAAATTTTTTGTATTTCTTGTAATTCGATAGACTAAACTTAATATTTACTTGTATCCAAATGATAATGCTAATGCCAGTATGATCAGCTGTGAATTGTTCTTATGACAGCCTGGCACAAATAATCGTATTTTCCAAAGGTAAATATTTTGTTATTTGATAACTCCGAAAAATATTTTTTTGTTATATTCAGCAAAAAAGTATTGTATTTTATGAGCATTGACAGCAAACCATGCCTTTACAAGTTCTTTGAACACCTGCAATAAAAAAGGAACATATATTTATTCTGGCATCGTACGATAAAAGATAATATATTTTGTAACAACAATTGTCCATGTAAAATGGATTTGATTTTTAATGAAAACCAATTATAGAAAATCTAACATATTTTATTATTTACTTTGGTCGCCAGCAAATTCAAGGAACTTTATCAAAAATCCAGAAGGCAAAATTTTCAATGAAACGCATATTATTATTCAAAAAAATTATCATACTAAATATCATTTTATAATTCAGTCTGTATATTGAACGGAATATTTCTTTACGCACAAGAAAATATAATTTCTGTCGGCGACTATTGTAACTTGATTAACATGCTTCTATCACGTTCCAATTTTCAAATGTAGTGAGTTCCATCCTCAGACGCTCTACGACTGTTCCTGTTTTGATGACAGTATAAACTAAGTAAATAGCAACAAATATATAATTTTTACAAATCTTTTATTTATAAATATAATATAAATTATATATATATATATATATATATATATATATATATATATATATATATATATATATATATATATATATAATTATCATGGATATAGTTTCGTTTTTTCTTGAATAGGAATTCCCACGAAAGGAAATAAATACTAATCAAATAAATCTTGATGTTTAGTTCCCTTACCCAATTTCTATCATTTTGTATGACGATTTTTCATGCAACTTTTTCATTACTGTTTCTATACGTCCTTCAACACAAGTGGAGCTCTCTCTGAGAATCGAACTCAATTGTAGTTGCTTGTAAAACTAGCCATTACTCTACAACAGACAACACTAAAATATGTTTTTTTGTGGATTTGCATCGTAATATTTCAAAAGTATCTATCTGATTTTCTCTATTTTTCAGTGTACACCTTTTGACATCCGAAAGTCATCAACTCTTCGAATGTTTATTATTATAACGACTGTGGTGTTGATATATGCATCGGCACAAGTCAATGTAGTAAGGATTACTTCTTCCTATTTTAGAAATGTTTTATTCGTGCGGTTAAAATATAGAAAGATGATTCATATCACACTAACTGCATTAAATCATCCATAGAAGCATCTGCTCTACATGAATTTCTTTATCAAGTGAAATTATATATTTAGCTCCTGTGTGCGCATATATATATATATATATATATATATATATATATATATATATATATATATATATATGCAAACAGATTTTTATTAAAGTCAACCGAAAATGTTTGTCTGTTTAACTTTTATTATATCTTTTCAATTTCAGAATGATGTACATCAGGATTTAAAGTGTTAATAAATTGTACAAAGAACTTTGATCAATTGAAAATGATGAAACGCTGTGATAATGATTTACGAAAGCCGAAAATACTCAATAACCAAACTTATGTGTGTGTGTGTGTGTGTGTGTGTGTGTGTGTGTGTGTGTGTGTGTGTGTATGTGTGTGTTTACCTAAAGTTAAAATCTTTAAAAAAGACATGAATACTTTTGCTACATTTGCTGATACGTTTCATTCTTTCTGTTTTCATTCTTTCAGTTTTGCTGCACTCCTGGTTTGATCTTAAACTACACATTATCAAAACTATCAAGTTTTCATCTCAGCGGGCTTGAAGACAGCCCAACATTCGGTAAACACCTGCGATGCGAATTGCCGCAATACATTTACTTCAGTTGCATCATGAGTTTTATTTGTGTCTCCACTTTCCTCAGGCTATCAGCCGTTCTCAAGTTAGCCATCATGTTTGGTATGGCCGCTGTTTGTATTGTGCTGATGGAGTACACACATCGCCCACTTTTTGTGCAATTTGACTACCTTCATCAGTAAGTCAATTTTCTCAAATAATAGCGTAGTTTCTGTATCATAACAATCTTCATTGCTCTTGGCATCGTTCACAATAAAGAAAAACAAAAAAATATGATTAACTTTACTTTACAATTTCGCATAATGAAATGACTACTATTAATAAAAAAAGCATATTTAACCATACTGTTCATAGATAATTGAATTGAAAGATGAAAAGGCACACTATTCATTGTAGTCGGTGATTTTGATTTGAGATTTCGACTTAATTTTACATTTATTTCTTTATACATCAAATGCGATGAGATATTCAGCATTTTTGTTTTGTTTTTTGTTAGACTTTTTTAATCTGTCGGCGATAATAAAGAATAAAGAAAATATATCTGTATATATTTTCTTTATTAGCCCTGAATTGCTATGTATGGTGGTTTCCCCGCTGCATTATTAATAATAATAAAAAATGAAAAAGCCACCACTCAATAATATCAACTATGAACGCGGCCACAATGTTCTGACAGTGTTTGGAAAATAAAACGTTCATCTAACTACAAATACATACATAAAACAATCCATACGTTCAGTAAAAATTAAAAATAAAATCTATCTTTGATAATGGCTAAATTTATAGCCGAATGAGCTCGGATATACAAAACATTTGCACAATTTCTATATAATTTACGTCCAGAAAAGAAAATTATAAGAACACATGAAAAATTAAATAAAAAAAACTTGACCGCAGTACCTTGTCAGTCGTTTTTAATGAAACTTGTATAAAAGTGGTATTGCTGCCGAAATACACAATTATATATATGTCATCACCACTAACAAATGGAAAATATTTTTCTGCTTGACAATACTCATAGACAAAAACTCTACATTTCGATCAAAAAAAGTTAAAATTGTAACTCTGATCATTGGCACTGGCGTAAGAAGTTCAGAATGACCAAAAATGTGCCAGAATTCTCAAATATGTTTGGATCAATCTAAAATCAATAGCTATTTTCTTTGATAGGAACACACTTAGAATAAACCATTAAGATTAGTTTGATCGAATGCATCACAAAGACATCAATATTCACCGAGAAAATAGTCTGATCGAATAAATCACGAAGACATCAATGCTCACCGGGAAAATGTTACCAAACTAAAGAAGGGATTTTTAGAAAGGTTTATGGTCTCCTCTTTTGAAATCCTCATTTGGACCACTTGGGGAAATTTAGTTATAAGGAATAATTTGCAAACCAGGTCTGAAATAATGAACCTCAAGTAAAACGTATCCGTATTTCACAATTAGCTGGCATATATCAGTAGTCAGTGAAACAGTAAATAACAAAAAACTAACACATAACAAAGGACTATCATCTCTATATGCCTTTTACTGACCAAACACCTACAATTTATAAACCAATAACATCTTTTTGATATCTGCCAAAAAATGTGATCCTTGGTACAAAAAACAGAAAATTATAGAATTTGAAATCTTTAATTCAAACACTATCGCAAAAATAGGCCCAGAAAATAGCACTTTATTAAAAAAGGTTTGTGACACTGAGCTGTCGACCCGTGGTCAACTCCCAGTTGCGGCGCGAAACTGTGATATTTCTCCTACCGGCGTTTTGGGGTTGACTCTTAGTCGCTGCCACCAGCCTGTGTCCCAGTCGATCGGTGGTCGTCGCTACCCGGCGGAATCCTTTGGTCAGGGTACCAAGTGGGATGGTCGATCGATGCTAACGGTTCACCCCAGCTGCAACCGGTTCGACACCAGTTCCGTCGTTCTCAGCTCACTTCCAAGTCTGGTTACCGAAGTAAGTGCTTCGATCCCAAGTCTAACCTACCCACGTTGTGAGTTTGGTCCTAGGTAGACAAGATCAATCAGGCATCGGGCCGTAGTGTAAGATAAGTCTAAACTGGAGGTGATATCGCACAAGCGTAAAGAAAAGAAACAAATAAAAACCCAAGAGGTTCAAGTATGTTGAAAGTAACAGATTAATTTTTATCCGCCTGTTATATACAGGAGTGTGTGTTTTTCTCCCAACCCGTTTTCTTCGGAGAGTGACACTTTTATTCTTCTTAGGCAAGTTCTGGTTTAGTTTTTAAGTGCTGGCTTGGCTTCGTTCGTCAGTATAACTTGCTATTGGTAGGATAGGCGAAGTCGGAAGTCGTGGAGTCTCTCGGTCAGCTTCTGCGAGGCAACACTCTGGTTCCTCCTACTCGAACTGCAACTCCAACTCAACTTCAACTCAAAACTACTAGCGAACTGCCCGAGGGCGTTCGTTTATATGGACACCGACCAAAAACCGGTGCATTGTTAGACGCAGCCTGGGGTTTTCGGTAAATCCCGATTTCTGACAAAACTCCCCCTCCTCACATTGATACCTCATACCAAATCCTTTCAGTGGATAATTTCCCCATCTTTCTCATCAAATTACCTCCACCTATCACCATTGCTACCACTCGACCAACGGCGTCCCGGTCGTGCGGGCTTGGCTAAGCTGACCTCATTAAAATTATAACCTAGAATTTTTTTTGTTTACAAAATTCTCGTTACCACCGGACAAAATTCCTCCGAACAACACACGGCCACTTAAAATCTCTGTGATTTTCGGCGCTTTTTGTCACTTTGCGTCTTCTTAACCAGTACTTTTACAAACATCATCAAGTCAAAGTTTGCTACTGGTCCCTTCTTGAGAAAGAAAAATAAATTGATAATAAATTTCTTTATCTTTAAATCAGCAATTCTTCCGAGATATTTTCTCATGCCCAAATTCTATAATCAACACGTGGCCACTTAACTTGCCGGGACTCGTTTTAAATGATCAACTGTCGCCTGATATCTTAAACGCTTTTTTTTTATTCTCGTGTTTTCTCAGTTTACAAACATCATTAATCAATTGTCAAAATCTCGCATATGGCCTTTTTGTGTGTCCACTGTTTACGCCAATTCTCGGGTTTTTGAGAAAAGTAACTCGATCTTATTATTAACGTAAAAAATAAAAATCTCGGAGTATCTCCTTTCCGTTCTCAGTATTAGTTAATTAATTACCATAGCTAAATAGTGTCACAGTTATAAGATGTCACAAACGAGTATTGAAATGTTCCCAACTCCACCATCAAAAATAGCAAGTGGGAACTACGTAAATGGCCATATATAACTCAAACACTCAAATAAAGTAGCATTGTCTTCCCAATCGTCCTCTTCTTGTAGAGCCAAACTAATTTTGTTGCAAACGCTGCCCTTGCAATAACTGCATGCTGTTGAGCACGTGAGACTATGTTTCCAGCAAGAGCAGATGTTTGTGCTGCAAGGACTCTTCGACAAAATCTTGCACTTACAAAGCACAAACTTCAGTAGTTCCTCAGGAACAGGATCTAGATCGGAAAGAACTAAATGTGGCTAAATTACCGTTTCTTATTTCCTGTAAGGATCAAATTGTCAAAATCTTACAAATCATTACTTGAAGATGGACACGGAGACTGTTGAACAAAGTTGACTGTTCAAGATTCTAACTTCTTCATCGATGTTGCGGCATATTCCATATACTTGATGTACCTGGGTGAGTCCATTGTGTCGTTTAGTTTTCCTCCATATATCTTGAACAAATATGTGCCCCTGCAGATGAAATTTGAGCAGGAGAAGCAGTTGCAGCAGTAGTAAAAAATAACGAATAGAAAACAACCTTAAGTGTTTATCCAAACAAAAGTATCCATTTGTCAATGATGATAATGGATATAACAGCACCTGAAAATTGATTTGGCGAACCAAATTCGAATTCAAATCAATATAGTTTATATCACTTTTATATGATGCCTGTGAGAAAAGCATGAATCTAATTCTCCCTTCTCTCTCTCTCTCTCTCTCTCTCTCTCTCTCTCCCTCTCTCTCTCCCTCTCTTTGTCTTATTGTTAACCATATTATTCATGGCATGCTATAGTGACAGACAGGTTATACCCAAGTCAGTACAGTTTTTCTTCCTTAATTCACTATCATTAATCATTAAGGGCAAAATGCAAAACCTTGATAATTCATCCCAGAACATCGATACCATCCTTTGGAACCAGCCAGTTTGTAAATTATAGGCATGCCCCCTATTAGTAATCTTTTTTATAGACCAAAAATTATTTTCTCTTTCGTTAAAAAACAATTTCTGAGTTTATTTGAGGGAATTTTGTGTCAGAATACGAAAACTCACCAAAAATCGTTATTTCGGTATAGGATGAAAGGCAATGTCAATGAATTTGGCATTTGTAGCGTTTTTTCCACACGCGTATCCTGATGATGAAAAAACATTCTTCAATATAATCACTTATTTACAAATGCACTTAATTTAGTCGTGAAAATTTCAGATAAAAATTCAGATGATACTGACTTCTTTGGCTACAGACTTATGGCTTATTCGCGTGTAGATAGATAGATAGATAGATAGATAGATACCTCGTTGTGGAGCAACGGTTTTCAAACTTATCAAGAAGTTTGTTGCTAATGGGATCCACACTATTGTTACCTTGCACCAGACAAACGTAAGCTTTGCCAATAACTTAATGTAGTTTGATCTTATGAAATATATTAACTAGTGAATTACAGAAGGCGCCCATAAATCTGATTTCCTTTTTTATCATGCAGTTCTATTATTCCGTCGGATGTGATTGGAATTGTCGCCCTTATTATTTTTATCCTCACATTCTATGTGCATGCTCGAAAGCAAGAATGGACATACAGATTGGATTTTCTATGGAAATCACAGGTGAGTCGTCACCCTTTTTATTCTGTCCAGTTTGAAATTTTTTACTTTAAAAAAAATAAATATTATCTTCCTTTTTTAATTTATTCTAAAGCTAAAATCACTGACATTTTTTTATTTCGTTGATTTTTTATTTAAATTAGAATATAAGAATATCAGAAAACCCCTTTTGACAAAATCTGAAACTTCAATGTTTTACAGGCGAAGAAAAAGTTTTAATATTATGAAAAAGTACTGACATTTCCTGATTTCAAAAAGAGATTTTTTTTAGCTCACATCTAGCCTTTAAATGAAAAAGGGAATTGCAGCAAAAAGTAAATCATTTTGTCTCTTATTTTCAACATTGATAGTCATCTTTTTCGATCAATGAAAAAGATAATTTTGATTTGATTTTCAAACACCAATAACATAATGATCAACAAAGAAAACAAATTAAGATTGAGAGTTATTCATTGGTACAAATTTCAGATAAGAAATAGTTTTAACGGATTTAACGATGATAGAATAACATAAGTATGTTATAAAATCACTACAAAAATAGCCATTTTGTTTCAACACACTCTGTGTCTTATCAAGTGATGATGTTGAAAAGAAAATAAATGGTTTTAAAAGTTTCAGATTAATTAACGATCCTACACTAGGGGGAACATTGTTACAAAAGCTAGAATAACCAATCAAAAACGAAGTATAGAAAGATTCAAAAGCTTGACAACGAAATCCTGCTATAATAGCTATTCAGATCTTTAAATACGTGTAATATTAAAAATAATTTATACTAACTAATAATTATAAAATTATATGATAAAATTTAATATTAAAATTAAAAACTGGCAATTTTAAAATCCAAATTTAATCACTATTAAGTTTAAAAACTACAAAATTATTGAGAAAAAAAAAAATATATATGTTTATTCAATTCATTTCTTCATTGAAATTACGTTCGACAAGACAAGACGCTACAATATATCCGGTCATTTGATAAATACATGTATATATATTTTTTTTTCCTTTCCCTTTCTTTTCCGTTTTATTTTAAAGTTTGTGAATGTGGTCTTAAACTCACGCGTCAAAACAACAAAAACACAATCAGATTATAATACATAAGCACCCAGACATAATTAGATACACACACACACACACACACACACACACACACACACACACACACACACACTAAAAAAAAAAAAAAAAAGGGAGGGGGGGATACATGAACATCTCTACAGCCCTTTATGAAAAAAAGGAGAC